ATATATCAATTATTTTTTAAAAAAAAAAAAAAAAACAATAAAAAATGTTTGTTTTAAATAAATTATTTTCAACAGCCACGTTCGGATTTGAGAGAGAGAGAGAGAGAGAGAGAGAGAGAGAGAGAGAGAGAGAGGCTGGCTACAAGAGAGTGAAACATTTTCTTTATGTATTTTTTTCTCTAATGGATTTTTGTTTTCCAACATGTGACAAATCGAGAACTCTATGTCAAGATTAATAAAACTAAAACTAGACGAGATGAATAAAACGTTTAAACGCTTTCTATTTAGTTTTTAGAAAAACAGGAAAGAAAATACTTTAGTGTCTCATGCAAATTACAGTTTTTGGATTATCTGCATCAATTATTGTGTGCTTACTTAAATGTCATGCAATCAGAAAACGAATTTTTATTAAATGATAAATCACTCATCAATAGACAACAGGAAAAAAACTATAAAATGCAACGGAAACATTTATATGTCTCTCTTGAAAGAAAGGTGGAGTAGAGAAATGGTTAGTTTTCCTGTAAAAAACTAAATCTTTAGATAAAATGCTTCAAATGTGAAACAAATTGTTAAAATTTAACTCATAATATTGAAGCTAAAGATAGTTTTCTAGAGTAAAATTCATTCTCACATCGTAGTGCCATATTTCCATCAAATGTATGCAGCATCCAAATTTCAGACTATGATTGAATTATATCAAATATCTTCGATTTTCTAGAAGTATGAAAAATGATAGTTCTCATGGGTCATTTTGGAAAAATAAAAAAAGGAAGGAAAAATACCTCGTCTTGCAGCTACTAACACCGATGTAGGGTGCGGACAGTGTCAGTTTCAATACTCTAATATCTTTTCTGAAGTTTTTCAAGTTTTTGACTTGGTCAGCCGTATCATTACCAGTTCGTAACTCCAGTTCTTGGCAGAAGGCTGGCTTGGCGCAGAGTTTTTACATCCGCGCACTGGCTCATTTGGAAAGGTCATGAATTCCACTAGGGTAAATTTATGTTTAAACACATCACTTCTGATGTACATGGCGAATAATATAACCAACAACTTATGTTTTCAACGAGCAAAAAGAGACGTGTGGTAAAGATCATTCTTCATCTTAATTTTTTTTTCTATTGAAAATTCATCTATAGACGTGATTATGAGAAAAATTCTGAACAAAGATATATTGTCATTTTTCGAAAAATGTTTCTTCAAAGGTATTCTTTCCGAACATTGAAAAGTCAATTTTTTAATTTCTATACAGATTGTATAGAAGATCCTGTTTCAACTTTGGCTATAGTCTGATCTTGTGAAAGTATTTGAATCATGTAAAATACATTTCTAAATGTTAAAATGTACGTTGTATTCAAGCCAAATAGACTTTAATTCTTAAAAGATTTCCCTTCCAAGCAAAAACGCCCCAATTTTTTGGGTTATTTATCTAGATTCAGCTCCACGTACATCTAGATGCACGTGAAGCGGAATCTAGATAAATATCCCAAAAAATTGGGTCGTTTTTGCTTGGGCAGGTGCTAGAATGTATACTCCGATCATTTTTTAGGTTTGGTCTATCTGTCTCGTTCTGACTGTAAGGGCACACATCCTATATCCTGACCGGAATGTCAGCTGTATCCCATCCCGATCAGGATAGAGAAAAAAATGAATATCCCGATAAGACACAAAATTTCGTCGTAAAAATGGTTAAAGGAAAAACGACGACGTTATGGGAAAATATGGACCTCGCCATTAGAAAGGGCTCGAAAAACTACATCGAATTCTGTTGTGTTTGATTAAAAGTCTATCATGCACACGGCAACCATTTTTTCGAACAAAAATTTTTAACAGATTTTAGTCGAATTTATATCGATCGAGACACCTCTCTGCATTGTTCAGATAGCGATTAGACGTATTATGCTCCAGCTGTATTATTTTATTTCCCAGTAGTGTATATGAAGAACTTCACCAAGAAAAGTGGTTTTTTGATCATAACCACATCAGTTGAGCAAAAATACTTACTATATTTATCCTAACAAAAAGTTAAGACATAACACATGAACGAAATCTTGTTTTGGGGGTAAAATTCTTAGGACTCCTTTTCAGAATAAAAAATTTTCAGCTCAACAACATTCTCTAAATAAGATTTTCATATGACAGATGCGGTAGCGTTAATGCGCCGTATTTTCGACATAAACCTTCTCCATTACATTATTCAATCGTAAACTTTTTTCAAAAGACGCGTCATTAAATTCTCTACAAAAAATGTATTGAACATTTTATTTTCTACACTAACAATAAAAGGCTCTGGGAAAAATACTACGAAGCTTCACTGTCGGTCACTCTCTAACCACCTTTTCAACGAAAAGAAAATTTTCGGTGATCCTAAGTGTGCTCTTTGTTTTCATATCTATTAGGTTCGCTTTCATTTTTTTAGTTCTATTGTAAAAAGGACGATTTTACTAAGATCCGCTTAAAAAATAAGCTCTTTTAACTTAGCATAGCAGAACAAAGGAGGTTTTAGAACGTTCACCATTTGATGAATGAGAAAGAGATGTTATTTTGCTTTAGAATAAGACAAATACCCGCTCAATCTATTTTAATTCCGATCAACTTAGAAAAGATTTTCTGAGTAGCACGAAACTGTTGTTCAAAGATAATGATATTTTTTGTTATAGTTGAGAAAAGAAAAGATTTTCTTTCTAAACGCCTCTGATTTTGAAAATGGCCATTCGGCAGAGCTTTGCAAGGGCTAAAACATCGCTGTCTTCTTGTTTTTATACTTCAATATGTGAAAGATAAAAATCGAAAAGAGATTAGAGAGTAATCGACGTTGAAGCTTCACAGTATTTTCCCCAGAGCCTTTTATTGTTAGTGTAGAAAATAAAATGTTCAATACATTTTTTGTAGAGAATTTAATGACGCGTCTTTTGAAAAAAGTTTAAGATTGAACAATGTAATGGAGAAGATTTATGTCAAAAATACGGAGAACGTCATTAACGCTACCGCACCTGTTATTATTATTTGAGAGAATAATGTAAATAAAGTAAGGACAGGTAAGAAGCATATATGTCACGCGCAGTCAAAATAAGAAAAACGCTTTTAGAAAGTTCATTCCCTTTTGATACACGAGGTATACACTGTTGTACAGCTCTTACAGTAACTTGAATACTGTAAGATTCATTGTAACATCGTACCCTCCCCCCTCCCATAATAGAAGACCACCTGATCTTCTATTTTGTGCGGCAAGTAGTCAAGTTCTAAGGGGAGGTCTTCTATTGAGATCAAATTTTGTCGCCTGCTAGTAGTCCAACAGTACTCCCCCTCCCCACATACTTCAAGTCCATTCCCCATTAGAAGAACATTTTGGTGGAATTTTTTGAAAATTGTTTATAGGTATAGGCCATTTTCCGACTTTTTGGTGTACATAATCGAAGATCAGTAATCTTCTGGGGCTAGAAGACCATGGTCTTCTATTTGGCTGTCAAGTTGTATAATCGGCAATGGTCTTCTATTATGGAAAGGGATTAGCAACTCTTTAAAAAATCACTTCCTTTTAATATTTACCTTTTCATTTGCTCGTGTGATTGTAATACTTGTCTTGTTCCATATAGATCTAACGCTCTTCGTCTGGATACACCATGATTCAATTCATTTGATTCGAATACTGGCCAACCGGCGCCAATAGTATGCATACCACCATATTGTGAAAAGCGGCGTGTCGATGCCGCACGACCTCCACCCATTAGCAAACTCATGGTTATTTTAATTAAACCGGACCATCTTAAAATCCAATTTAGAATAAACTATTTCAGCAATCTCTTTAATTATATCTATATTATGCAGTAGGTACAAGAATGGCATAAGTACACATTCGCTAGGGAAAGTATGCAATTGATAAAAAACTTAGCGAAAGTACAAGATAAGATTTAATCTTAAATGTAAAAGGTGAATAAAGAATCAAACGTTGAATACAATATTGAAATATTATTCGAACAATTCACTAATATAGGGGAAGTAATGCTTTGGATGTTATAAAAAGGTTAAAGTTTATTTTGTAGCGGTTGGATTCAATAATCTCTAAGAGGAATATAAACAGCGAATGTAGATGTTCAGTAGCGAAAGCACACATTGTCAACAGTGATTCTTCACTTTCTCAATGACATATACTCTGTACCTTATTAACCATTTAATGTTCATGCAGTAATATACCATTTATAATCACAATCATTAGCAGTTATAGACCATTCAAAATATATTCAATCTAGAATGAATGCTGAAACCATTTGTGAATAAAAATACGACTATTTATATAATACTGAGGAAAGACCTACATAACATATGTCACAAATGATCTCAGCTTTGTGAAATATTCTATAGTGATCAAAATAAATTTTACTGAAGTTATTACTCGATATGAATGTATGAAGAAGAAAGAAAGTTGCTAGATACAGAGTAAACAGCTAGCATCAGAATCCAGCAATACAGATCTGAAATTGGTTAAAACCAGCTTTTTAGCAATAATATTCTTCAAAGTTTGTCAGTTTCTATTGATCGCTGACGGTATAAACAGATATAATATGCTGTTGGTAAAGCTTGACAAATTGACTCTAATAATAATTTTTGTTATTCTGTTAAAAAATAATGCTTACTTTAAGTTCTTTATCTATCGCAAATTTTAGGATGTGTGCTGCCCTCTCTCTATACATGTTGATTTTTTCTTATACAAACCATTCTGTTAGTACTATTTAGCAGAATATTTATATTAATAACACGTTTAAACTAAGCAAGATTATGGCAAAAAACGCTTGATATCCGAAGGGGAGCGGGTTCTCGAAAAAACTTAATAATGTTGACCTTGTCTCCGATTCCCCTCACACAACCAACCGGATTCAAACTTGCAGGGAATAATGATCATGTGTGTTATATCTTTCAGGTTAAGCTTTATTTAACACGAATTCGAGATCTCCAGTACTCAATTTGACGGAGAAAAGTGTCCAACAATGTTCATCGTCAGCACAGAATTCTCTTTTTAGATATGATTGCGCTACACTCTAAAAAATAATCCGTATTAAAATAAGACGGTAGAAGTCCTTTTCTTATTAGACGGATACATCCGTCTTATTTCCATTAGCCATTTACTTCTAAGGATAGTTCTGTTGCACAGTATCGGGAGAGTACCACAAGTAATGATCATATCCATGGTTTTAGTAAGAAATCAAAATAAATTGACAAGTTCTTTCGAAGAAATCATTTTTCTTTATATACGAGTGACGAACGCAAAATAAAAGAGATAAATGGTTCTTCATCGATTACAGAAGTGAGGCGAAAGGATGGCCTGCAGAAACAAACGTCTTAAAATCAGACGGGTGCAATAGTGAGACGGGTAGTATAAGTCGGATTTTTTAGAGTATGATGTATAGTAATGGACTATCAAACTTAGATGGCAAAAAACGACAGACGTACATAATAGTTTTTACCGGACTTTTTTCTCCTTAGGCATCTCAGAGAATTCACTCATCAACAGTCCATCTAAATCGACGATCAATCGATTACTCAGTCGAGTGAGAATTCTCAAATAATCTGATGAATTTCATTTTTATTATTATTTTGTTAACCTTGAATAAATACCGTCTTTGATGTTTCTCTACATTGACGTTTTGGGCTCGATATTCGCACTGAATAAGACCGTTTAGGATAACTTCTATTGTCTGCATCTGATATTGAATATTATCCTTATGTAGGCAATACACACGAAAACCTTATGATGTTTCTAATTTAATTCAGTAGTGGCAATTGTAATATGTCTATGTAAAAATTTCTTGTTAATCAAGATTATTCCGTTCTATCACATTGGTTATATTCAAAACTTTGATAGAACATATTGTTGATAAAATTTATTATTAATTTCCATAATTAATACGGTTAACAGTTCGATCTATAATATATTGGCCTATCTGAATATCATTTTTTCTGTAAAATCAGTCATATTTACTTCACGTTTTCGTCGACGTGCTGCACTTTATTTGTTTGGTATTAAAATATTTTTATAAAATCTTTTCAACACAACCTCAGTTGAGATTAAAAATGGAAGACTTTTCAAAGATAGTAAGAGCTATCGTGCTACCCTAAGGGGACTATCACAATCAAAATTAATATATTACCCTGCCTCATTTTTATGTTCGTGATAATGTCTGATAGTGAAAAATCTCCTACAGCAGAGATGTAACTGTTCCAAAATTCTTAGAACGGGAACGGTACCTTTTTAAAAATTTTCTACCGAATCGGAACGGTCATTATAAATTTTTTATTTTTTCATAAATGAAAGAGTAATTTTGTTCAAAAACAGTTCAACATGACACTGATTAAAATCTGTTATTTGACCAAAATTTCAACTGCTGCGCTCGTTCGGAGTCATAAATGAAGATTTTCACAAAAAACTAACACCATAACTGTTGTTTCGAATGAACGTGAAATATATGTATCCTAGTCATAACAGGCAATTTCTGCGCAGCAGACGGACATAAGTACGAAGTATATTCGATAACTCAACAATGAACTTTTCTACATTTCAAACACACCCTATCGAATGGCTGAATCAGAATTTTTTTCTAGCAAAAAGCGAGTTTAGGTCTGAGGCGAAATTTTTTCGATAGCAAATTTTTGTTTAGAAATGTGTTGTCCGATTAGTGGTTCGATGCAATTTTTTGTGCTGATTCTAAATATCCCCTCGGTTTTGAGTTTAAGTGCGTCCGAAACGAGAAAACTTGATTTAATGTGAAAAACTATCGGATTTTGAGAAGCCCACAGTATGGTCCAGGAACGTTTATGCATTCTTATGCAAATTTTACAGATGTAGTACACATAGGAAAAGATTTGTGCAATGTCTGAGCAAGATTTTCTAGTTCTGGTTTTCCCACTTTCCCGTACAGACAAGAAAAGTTATTCTAGGGAGATATAGTCACTATATCCATCTAAATGAACCGTCGATCGAAACTTGAGAAAATGAAAGTCGGCTTTTTTCTTAAAAAATGTCAACTTGGTTGTTCACTGTACTAGTGAGCCCTGCGACTACACTGTAAGGAAGCTATCTGTATAACTGAAAGATGAATCTAAACAAAACTTGGAAAAGACGACTATATCTAACTATAGTTATAATAGACTATATAGGCTTTGTCTATTATTCTTTTTTTCTCGGACACGGGTCAAAATCAGATGAGTATGGCAGATTTTCGCTTTTAAATCAAGAAACTAGAATGTTCGGATTGCCGTCGTTATAGAATGTGTGATCAACCTAAAACAGTCGAATTTTTGAGTTTTTTGCGTGTTTTATCGAGGAAGCTTGAAGAATATTAGTAAAAGACTCTGAATTATCGGAAAATAAAAGCTTATGACTGTGTCGAGCTCTTTCATGTTGTTGCTATAGGTAAGTTTTAAAAGAAAAATGACTCAACTCTGCTTTGTCCTTTGCATTGTTACAGAGAGACCTTCACAATACTTTTGGTTAGAAGATCGTTCATACCTATAAGGTGTCTTATTTTTACAAATGTTTGCTCAGCAAACCAGTATGGCTGAAATTCTTTTTAACATTAAGCATTTAACTGAAAAGGAACAAATTTTGAAAAATTGATGTCTCAGGCTTACAGAAAGCTTGAGAAAACTCTCAGAAATCTTGAATTGCAAAAATAATATAATGTCTGATAGTAGACACTCCTTATTATCGAGCAATGTGCTAATCACGTTACTAATTCTTATAAGAAAATTCCTGAAGCATTTTTGACAGGGGTGGGAAGGTTCTTAGGGCAGCTCGGGTCAGACTCCTGTTTCGATAAACATAAGTCCGAGCTGGACCAAACTTTCAAGGAATGTTAGTCGTGCCAAGAAATAGTTATAATAAAAGTTTGAAGGTTCTTCCTACTTTTGTTCGGTATATGTCACCGGAATAAGGATCAAAACAGATGCGTATTACCCATGCGGAAGAGAAAAGTAGTTCGAGGAGTTATTGATTGAACTCGAGGCCTCGAGTTTCTGATAGGCAGCAAGCCATCGAACAGAAATGTCCGGGACTTCCGGGCCCTCGCCGCACCTTCGGACGATGTTCCTTCATCTGCTTGGGTCCTGAACATCCCTGTTCGATAGCTCGGAATTTTTCGCGAGAACTTGCTACATATCCGAAACCTGAGGCTTCGAAATCGGTGACGTCTATCCTCTGCAATGGCTCATCGAAAGAATACTTTCGGGTACTTGAAACACCTCTCGAAACAGCGGTTGGATACTGTCAACAGCGTAAAAGAATGACAGCCTAAATGAAAAATAGGACTCTTTTACGTTGACCTCTTAAAAGATTGGTGAAGTTCTCTATAGGTTTTCGACCACGAAGATTCTGATACGCATATGCTAGCATATGTATCATGTATGTGTATATGAACGTTTTTTCTCGACACCATCTTATTAATCTATCAAGTACAAGGTATATACATTAGGGGTGTTAATTTAGTTTTATTGTTCATTTAT